GAAACTGGTAAGCCACTTGGTGGTGAATGAACTCAGTAAGCTCAAGTTCTAAGCCTGCTCATTCACACCCTGACAAATGTCCCTTCCACAGAAACGGGCACCCGTGTCCTTGTTGGAGAGGAATGCGTTCCAGGGCTGGCACACCAAGAGCCACTGAGAGCAACTAACAGGGAAGCCAGCTGCCTGCTGTCGGGATTCCCAGCGCAGGGAGCATCAGGACCCAGACACAGGTCTTTGTCTGATTAGCGACAGGCCAAGGCTTCAGGCAGGCGCACCAGCGCCTGAGTCAAGGCTCCAGGGGCACCAGAGCTGTTCAGCAAAAGCTTCGAAAAGAATCTGAAATAGAAGCGTGTGCCTGTGTGTGTGTGTGTGTGTGTGTGTGTGTGTGTGTCCGCATTCGTGCCCGGCCAGGGAAGTGGCTCAGAGGCAGCACGCAGCCCTTGCATGTGTGAGGCCCTGGGTTTGATCCTGGCATTACAAATTAAATAAATAACTGAATGAATATTTCAATGATATACTTACATTGGGGCTGGAGCGATAGTACAGCGGTAGGTCATTTGCCTTGCATGCAGCCAGACTATCTGAGCCGGGTTTGATTCCTCCGCCTCTCTCTGGAGAGCCCAGCAAGCTACCAAGAGTATCTCGCCCACACGGCAAAGCCTGGCAAGCTACCCGTGACGTATTCAATATGCCAAACACGAGAACAGCAAGTCTCAAAATGGAGATGTTACTGGGCCCGTTCGAACAAAATCAATGAACAACGGGAGGACAATACTTACATTGGATGATCTTCAGTGACCAAATTAGCTAGGTCTGTGGATGTAAGAAAATAGTGATGTTCACTGGCCAACTGGGAGGCCCCTCATTAAAATATAATAAATATGAAACACACTTAAACGTACCACTAACACGAATCCTTTGAGGACAAAAATGTTCTATTTATTCATTCCAATGACTGCACTGAGACCACAATGAAATGAAGAAAGATTTTTGAATATCTACTTAAAAGACACCGTCTGGTTTGTATCAGACCAACTCTGTACTCTTCCCTTCTACTCCACAGAATTAGAAAGCTTGGTAACACGCATGCAAACACTCTGAAGAATTAACAGGAGAGGGAGAAGAATTAGAAGATTATAGTTTGAAAAAAGATCAAAATTCAGCGTGGTGAGGCCTGCAACTGGTGTTGTTTTCCTTGTGGGACATCTGCTGGATTATGGAAAGGTCCTTCACCAGCTGAGAAGCTAATTTCTAATGCTTCTGTAAGGTCAGAAATTTAAAAAAAAAAAAAAGACACCTGAACTGCTAATGAATTGGCTATCATCTCCTGACACAATAGACAAAGGCAGAAAGCATTACTCAGGTAAAAATAAGTAAGTAAATAAATAAAGATGCAGAAGTTCAGGCAGAAGCAATAGTGCAGCAGAGAGGGTGCTTGCCTTGCACTCAGTTGATCCATGTTAGATCCCAGGCATTCCATATGGTCCCCGAAGCCTGGGAGGAGTGATTCCTGAATGCAGAGGCAGAAGCATGCACTGAGCATCACCAGGTGTGGCCCAAAAACAAACAAACAAAAAAAGAGGGGCCAGAAATATTAGTACAATAGACAGAGCTTTTTTCCTTGCACACAGCCAACCCAGGTTCAATTCCTGGCATCCCATATGGTCCACCAAGCACCACCAGGAGTAATTCCTGCATTGCAGAGATAGGAGTAACCTCTGACCACTGCTCGGAGCCACAAGAAAAAAAAAAAAAAGGAGGAAGAAGAAGTTCCAGACTAGAGCCATGTATAGTGCATATGGCATTTGCCTTGCACAGAGCCAAACCAGGTTCAATCCTCATCACCCCAAATGGTCCCCTAAGCACCGTCAGTAATGATCCGTGAGCTCAGAGCAGGAATAAGCCTCAAATACCTGCAGGAAGGCAGGCAGGCAGGCAAGTCAAGGAACATGAATTAGGGGCTGGAGAGATAGCACAGCGGGTAGGGCCTTGCACGTGGCCAACCCGGATTCGATTCCCAGCATCCCATATGGTCCCTTGAGCACCGCCAGGAGTGAGTGCAGAGTCAGGAATAAACCCTGTGCATCGCCAGGTGTGACCCAAAAAGCAAAAAAAAATGAAATAAAATAAAATAAAAGAAACGACGTAAAAAGTGAAAATGTTTACTATGATAATTTTAAAACTGGGAGGATTGAAAAGCTGGTCTGAAAAGACACAGAGCAAAAACCTGCTATTGCTGTAAAGGGGCTGGTGAGATAGTACTGGGGTTGGGATGCTTGCCTTGCATGCAACTGATCCCAGTTTAGTCCCTGGTACCACAAAATCCCATGAACATCTCCAGGAAGACGGAGCCAGGAGTAGCCCCTGAGTATCACTTGATATGGTCCGACCACTGCCACCACCCCCTTCCCACCACTGCTGGTCTGTTAAAAAAAAAAAATCTTATTAACATAAAAAGCAGGAAGAAAGTTTAAACCTTAAACATGGGGAAAAAAAGATTAGAATATGCTATCTACAGAACTTTGTACCCAATGATCTTAAAAATAATCCTTTTTTTGGGTATTTTTTGTAACTCTCTTATATGAAATTCAAAAAGAGTTATAACAACTGACTCGCTAAGACTTCTTTCACATATCATTTCTGTAGTTCTTGACTCTGATCACGTGGCACAGTCAAAAACTGAATTCTTGCCCTTTCTTTCACCCATTGGGTGAGAAAATCTGTGTGCAGAGAAACAGAGAGAGGATGCTGGCCCCTGACAAGGTAGCATGGCGAGTAAGAAGGACCCTGAGATAAAAGGAATGCCCAAGTATTAGGGGGATCATGGGATGCCAGGGCCTCCATGACCAAATGGACCGGCGAAGGTGAGGATAAACACACAACAGAGAGGATAAGGGAGGCAGGGGGTGAGCGGCACAGTCTCTCCTCTGCCTACCCAGGGGTGTGCAAGCCTGTTTCTGAGAGAGGGGGAGTGAGGAGGGGAGAGCAGCATTCAGTCATCAACCAGACACCAAAGGGAAGCAGGAGGGACAGCAGGATCCTCTGTGCTGTGGATCCTCTGTGCTGCCTCTGGGACGTCAACTCAGATTTGCCAGGAAGTGACCAAACTCCGCTTGCTTTCGTCTACGTCTGCGTCCTGCACCATCCAGGTTTGTCCTGGGGACTGCTTGAGATTCTCAGCGACTACCTTTGCCATTCCACTGTCTGGAGCATAGACGAGGAGTGGGGGAGGTTGATCGCTACAAATTTCAATGTTGCCTTCCAACAAGCCTGACCTTCTCAAAAAAGAAAAAATAATATCCCATTCTTTTCTTGGGGGTGCAGGAATGCTCCTGGTGGTGCTCAGGGCTTACACCTGAAGTTCAGGGCAAGTGCACTCCCCACTGTACTGGCCCTCCCCACTCCCTGGTTTCTCTCAGCTCACTTTTTTTTTTCCCTTTTTTGGGTCAGACCCGGCAATGCACAGGAGTTACTCCTGGTTCATATACTCAGGAATCACTCCTGGCGGTGCTCGGGGGACCATATGGGATGCTGGGAATCGAACCTGGGTCAGCCATGTGCAAGGCAAACGCCCTACCTGCTGTGCTATTGCTCCAGCCCCTCAGTTCACTTCTTAAAAAAAACTTGTATGCAAGTTTTATTTTTGATCTCCCCAAACTAGAAACAGCTTAATTCAGAAGAGAATTTTAAAAGATATTGGTCCTTATATATAATATTAATCATAAGTAAAAGGTAGCATTGTAGCATTGTACTCCCCTTGTTCATCGATTTGCTCGAGTGGGCACCAGTAATGGCTTCATCGTGAGACTTGTTCTTACTGTTTTTGGCATATCGAATACGCCACGGGGAGCTTGCCAGGCTCTGCTGTGTGGGCGGGATACTCTCAGTAGCTTGCCAGGCTCTCCAAGAGGGGCGGAGGAATTGAACCCAGGTCAGCCACGTGCAAGGCAAACGCCCTACCCATTGAGCTATCGCTCCAGTCCAGTAATTAATAATAGATGAGGCAACATGGATAAGTCTGAAATTTAGTTTGCTAGGGGAAAGGAGCCAGAAACAAAAGGCAATTTACTGTATGGGGCCATGTGTGTAATATTCTGGTCTGGATCATTATTTATACCCCGTATCAGCTCACTTTTTAAAAACAATTTTTTCTAGTGCCAGGGATAGAACCAGGACCTCACACACCAAAGCATGTCCTCTAGCACAGGGCTGCAGTTCCGGCCTCATGGACTTGACCCTGTGCCAACCTTTGGAGAGAAAACACAACCCAACACAGCCGGAATCCTGAGGTGATTTTGAGATCCTCACTTCAGCGCTGGGGGGTTCGATGACAGGAGGTGTGTGGGGGGGGGGTCCTTGTAAGACTCAGAGGGGCTTGAGTTAGAACTAGAAGCCTGGGGTGGGGTGCGATGGGGGCAGACCTGGCTGCTATTTTTTTCTTTTCTTTTTCTTTTTTTTTTCAGACAAGTCGGGGAGTCCTGGTGACTGTCTCTAACAGGTTAACTGGCATCACCCCCAGCCTGATGTCACTGAATGAAATATGTGAGCCGACTTTCTGGACCTGCAGCTGTCCTGGCCTAATTCTCTGAAAGAATCTCACCAACATGGCTCCCTCATCCTGGCAACCTCTGGGGAGGAGCAGAGAGACTTGCTGAGGCAGCAGGGCCTTTGGGGCACCTCCGCGGCTCAGGGACCCAGAAATCCTCCAGGATCTGGGGATGGATGGGCCAGCAGCCAGCTCCCAGGGTGCCGCAAACCTGCTGCACTCTGCATAGTCACCTTCTGGGGCTCTGGTGTCTGGGCATGTTGGCACTCACTGTTCATCTGGCAATTTCGCAATCGTCTTCAGTCCGTACAAACTTGTATCGCCTAAGTACTTCCTGAATTTTGACTAGCACCACTTCAGGAAGTAAAAGCACCGTTGATGTTTGCGCTAAGTGCCTTATTAATAAGTAACCGCCACTGCTTTTTGCAGTCTGGCCAAGGCCCTGCAGACTCACCCTCGTACATCTCCAGGATGTGAACCGTGTCTCCGATCTCCAAGGAGAGCTCCACATCTTGAGAGGCATTGAAGTTATAGATGGCTGGAAAAGAGAAAGAGAGAGAGAGAGGTGTCAGTGGCAGTTGAGATGCAAGTCATTCGGTGGTTGGTGATCTATTTATACAACCAGTAGCTCTCGGCTTAATGATTTCAAATAAGACACCCACATTTCAGCACAGAACACCCTCCTAGACTCCCACAGTGGTGTTTTATAGTCACTCCTCCACTGGAGAGTCTGCTCTACATTGTGTGAAAAGTGGCTGGTTGAGGGCTAGAGCGACAGCACAGTGGGTAGGGTGTTTGCCTTGCACGCAGCTGACCTGGATTTGTTTCCCAGTATCCCGTATGGTCCCCGAGCACCACCAGGAGTAATTCCTGGGTGCATGAGCCAGGAGTAACACCTCTGTGCTTTGCGGGGTGTGAACCAAAAAGCAAAAAAAGTAAAAAGAAAAGTGACTGGTTGTCTACTCTACATTGTGTTAAAGACTGGTCGCAGAGTCACAAAACACACAGATTTGTGCTCTGGATCAGAGGTTTTACAGTCCTTTATTTATTTATTTTTTTTAACTTGTTTGTTTGTTTGGGGGCCCCACGCAGCAGTACTCAGGGCTTACTCCTGGCATTGCTCAGAGAACCATAAACAGTGCCGGGATCAAACAGGGCTGACTTCGTGGAAAGCAACACCTTACCCCCTGTTCTCTCTCTAACCCCTCAGCTCTATTAAAGGAAGATGTTAAGCAGAAATTTTGTTCAGAGAAATTTTATTTTTAATTTTACAGAAAATTATTTCTCAGAAAAATTATTCTTTAAAAGGAGTGAAAAAAAGTGAGGGGATAAGAATCAAACTACAGCAAGGCTATAGCGTAGTAGGACTGTATTGGTCAGTACTCACTGATCAGACAAGAGCTGGTCTATAATACTGTAGGACCTGGATAATAATCTCTACAGCATACAGCAAGACATTTCAGGTATCTAACACTGTAACCGGCAGCCAAAGGGCAGCCTTGTGACCACTCTACCCACTAAAAACAGACTAACACAGGATATGATGCGTGATACCTCCCTTACCCAAGTTCTAGGCACACTGGGGACCTCGGTTGCCTCAGTAACTTCCTGATCAGGGTGCCCTCAATCACCACAGTCCTTAGGACTGGCAAAGATGATGGCAGATTGTGAAAACCAGAAGACTACCTTGGCCCGAGAGAGAGAGAGAGAGAGAGAGAGAGAGAGAGAGAGAGATCAGTAACTCATTTTGGACATGGGTAACAGTTTTACAGAAATGTTTTACCATGAATCATCCATGACAGCTAAAGCACATTTAAAAAATAAAAAAAATGTTCAATATTAGTCATCAGGGACATGCAAATTAAAACCACAACAAGGCATCACTTCACACCTACCAGAATACTATAATGTGCATTATTTTTAAAAAATGAAGAAAAGAGACATTGGCAACAAGGTGGGATACCAGAACCCCTGTACACTGCTGGTACACAGAATGATAAAATCATTTCCAAGAACAGTTTGGCAGTTTCTTAGAAAGTTCAACATCACTTTACAACACAGCCTACCAATCTACTCCCAATTATCGACAAAGAGAAATGAAACATGTCTGCACAGAGACTTAATGGGGATATCCTTGGCCGCCAAGGCAGGCAGGAAAAGGCGGCCCCAGGAAAGAGCCACACAAATCCCTGAAACCCACAAATGTGGCAAAATAAATATTTGACCAAATGAATGCTCATGAGAGGGAGGAGCTTCTCCTGAATTTCAGGCAGGGCCCTAAATGCAGTGATCTGTATGCTAACAGTGGGTTTGGGGAAACGCGGGGAAGAAAGGCGTGTGGAGCTGGAAGCCAACCAACACTGAAGTATGTGACCTCAAATCAAGAGATGCCACAAGCACCAGAAGCATAAAGAGGCAGAGAAAGGATTTCTTCCCAAGGGTCTCCAGACAGAGCACAACCAGGGAAAACCTGGATTTCAGACCCCTGGTCTCTAAAACTTGAACAGAATAGATTTCTGTTAATCAAGCCTTACTAGTTACCTACAGAAGCCACAGGAAACAATAAAGCAACACTTCTAACAACAGTCAAAAAACGCAAACGATGAACGAACTGACAAATGGACAATTAGATAAAATATGGCATATCCTTGTCATATGACTTGGCAATCAGACACATGCTACAACACAGACCTTATTCCATTGCACTAAATCAAATCTATCTAAAGAAAGCTTCTTCTAGTCTCCCGGTTATTTGCAATGCTTAGAATCAGCAAACCCATCAGACATTAGCAGATTATTGGTTGCCTTGGTCTGGGGATGAGAATTGAGATTGTGAGTACTGGAGAGGGAGATGTCTCCCTAAAATGTCTGCATTTTAGGGAGATGGAGATATCTTAAAACCTATTTGCAGTGATGATTACACTACTATGTACTTACTAAAAAAAATCACTGAACTGTATAGTTAAAATGGATAGATTTCTGGGTATGTAAACTAAACTTCAGTGACACTGATTTTCATCATTTTGTTTGTTTGTTTGTCTGAAATAGATTTAATTCTTGCCTACCACTCCCATGGTAAATTGCACCCTACTTGAAAAAGGCTCATCTTTGATATTTAGTTATAACCATTTACCTGATGACCAAGGGACACACATTATTCCCCATCTCTTCAGTAACACAAGGATCATTAAAAAGGGAATCAACTGGAGCCAGAGAGACAATACAGCTGGTAAGGGGCTTGCCTTGCATGCAGCCAACCAGGATCTGATACCCAGCGTCCTCCAAGCCTGCCAGGAGTGATTCCTGACCACCACCAGATGTGGCCCCAATCTAAATAATTAATTTTTAAAAAGGAATCAAGATGTCCCTGCATTTGTCAGTGATGGGAGGTTCACTGCTCCTTCCTGAGCCTGCAATGCACACCACATCTGCAGCTTGGCCGTAAAGGTGTTTTCTTTTATCACTGCAATCTGTTAGTGACATCTCTTATTTAAAATGATCTCTTCTTGGGACTGGAGAGATAGTACAGTGGGTAGAGCACTTGTCTTGCACATAGCCAACTCGGGTTTCATCCCCCACACCCAAAATCCCCTGAGCACCACCAGAAGTAATTCCTGAGTGTAGAGCCTGAGTGAGTACCCCCTGAGCATCACAGGGTGTGGCCCACTCCCCACACACACACCCACAATCTCTTTCTTCTTAAGAAATCATCCAAAGAGTATTTTTCTGTAGTCCTGGCATACAAGTATGGATAAATTATGTTAGAATTGTTTACTTGTAGATTTGGAATTAGACAGGACTGGCCAGTGAAGTGGGTTTGGAGAAAATGCACAGACTTCAGCACGTGTTAATAATTCCTAAATCTTAGACCTGCCCATGGGCCACTAGGCCATATCAGCTAATCTACTTTCTAAACATACTGTTAGCTGACTCAAATTTTTTGGCCACTAAGTACACGACTGGACATTTTCTGCATTTTCTGCAGAAAAGGTACACCTCACATCCTTGACTCTCCTTAGCCTTCCTCTAAACTGCTTCCTTCCCCTGGCCAGGCTTTTAGATGGAACAGGAAGTACTGAGGTCTCTATGTCACAATGTGTTGCTTAATAGCCAAGCGTCTCTTCGGCTCTTCCTCGTTCTTTGTCTAAAGCACTGTTAGGTCCAGGTACAGATACCTACCAAGAACTGCAGTAAAGTCATACACACACACACACACACACACACACACACACACACACACACACACGCATGCACGCACCAACATGTTTCTTTAAATCCTAGATTCCTAAGTCTGACAATCGAAATATACAAAAAGTATCCCAGTCTTAACCATCTATTTTTTTTTACTGCCCTCCATTATCCACTAAATTCCCTCCTCTTATCCAGTGAAGACTCTTACATTCTTTTCTAAATTATGTGCTCAACTCTTGCCTGGAACAGGAACAACAGCTTATCTTTCCCTTTCTGACAATTCAAGAACCATGGAGACTTTCAGTAAAACAAATGAATAGTAACCGGTTACCCTATGGCCCTGCATGATCTTTGCTCTGCAGTCTCACAACAATTCTCCCTTTTAACAGTTCAGATTTTTAATCACATGATATCTTGCACTGTCATCTTCACTAATCACAGGTAAACCTCTCATGAATGTAACCCACTTACACATTACTCTTGTACCTTTCACATACTGAGGCACTGGATTAGACCCAAAGAAGGTGCTCAAAGCATAAAAGTGACTTTAAAAATCCACCAATCAGCAGCCTGCTGTTCACGTACAAGGTCAGGAGCCTTTGACTGCTTCCATGTTGGCATCTGCCCCTCCTCAGGAGCAAAAGCAAATGTTGGGTGAACGGCTCTTTCCTCTTATTCAGGCCATGCACCCTTCTCTTGCTGGCAAAATCACTGACATGTTGTTGGAGATTGATAATTCAGAACTTCTTCATATGCTTGAGTCTCCGGAGTCTCTTCATTCTAAAGCTGATGAAGATGTAGCTGTACTACAAACCTACCAAGCTAAAGAAGCTGCCCAGTGCCACCAGTGTTCCAACTGTTTAAGATTGATCAGGGATCACGAAAAGAAAGTTTAGATATTTTCGAAATATCTAAACATTGAAAAACTTAAAATATTATGAAAAAATCGCAAAATATAAAATAAATAAAAAAGGAAAGGAAACTTTGAACCTTATGTACCGAGCAAATGCCAGGTCTAGCAAACCGCTAGCCTAGATTACTTCTGATTTAAAAACAACAACAACAACAACAACATAGTAAAATATAAAAACATATCAATATTTTATAGACTCTGGGAAAAAGAATTTTCAGCAACGTACAAAAATTTAAAGCATTCCTTTCTTTAATTTTGTAATTCTTTACTGTGGAATAGCTCAGAATGTCAAGTAGTTCTGTTTTAAATAACAGAATTGATTACTGAGCAAGAAAACGTAATTTCGATTACAAAATTCTTGCTTTAATAAAAATCACTTAAACAGTGAAAAAAAAAATCCATCAATGACCTCTAACCACTCTCCACTTCTTCCC